ACATGAACCATAACCACAGTGTTACCATTATTCTATGATTTAGTCCAACTAAACACTAGCATGTGAAGAACGCAGTAGAATCAAATAACACGTGTAACCCGTCAAATATAATGTTTTTGCTATACTTTTATTAAATCTTTAGTCCTAAATTTCCATTGGGTCTGGCGCCGGCTCCAGGGAGTTTGGGATCATGTGGTGCTTGCGGGGTCATGTGACTACTAGGTTATAAAGATAGCCATTTAGTTCTGCATATATTGTCAATATTTATATATTGTTTTGTTGCTAAAACAAAGCACTCACAATGCTCTGGTGAAGATGCTCATGTCAGTTTTCAATTTACATTGGTGGAAAGAGCGTTCCACAGACTGAGATATCTTTCAAGGCTGTTTAAACTGTGGATGTGAGACAGATTTGTAATTGTTTCTTTTGTTTTTTTTCTAAAGGCCAGATCTATCATGATGAGGAGAAGAGGAGCTCCAATCTGCTCCTCACAGCCACAGGCCCAACAACAGCCACTAGCCCACAGCATCAGGACACATACAGGTGCCTGGCTGTGCTCACATTTTAATACACCACTAATTCTTTTGCTAAATATTTTGTTTTTCATGGCAATTACAGTAGGTCCCATTTTGTTTTGTCGTCTTCATTCACGCTTCTCGGGAATCACGCAGCTGCGTGAAAAATAGTACATCTTATCGCCACAAGGTGGCAGGCTAAGTCCGCTTTAGCTCTGCCAGCGACTTAGACGCTCAGGTATCATACTGCGTGCAAACCTGTCTAGCCCAGAGATGCTATGTTGGCCAAATGGTTAACATTGAAGACTGGGACCTGGAGAACCCAGGTTCGATTCTTGTCTGAGGCAATTTTGGTTGCACATCTTTTGGTTGCTTGTGGCAAAATTGTTTTTTCATTAAACAATTATTATATAACATCTTGTCTTTAATGTCTGAAAAAATCTAGGTGAAATTCACTAGTGTTATACGTTAAATATTGTGATATGTGTTTTGATAAACCGAACGTTACGTTACATCCTCCGCTCTGGCCCCGGGAGCAGCTGCTGTGACCCCCGCTCTGACAGCTCAGTGAACGCACTGCCGTCTGGGCTCCGAGCGCGGACCATAGACACGCGAACAGAACCACAGACAGGACCATAGACACCCGAACAGAACCACAGACAGACATTTACATTTACATTTACATATACGCAGACAGAACCCAGACAGGCGGAGACACGCGAGACACGCGGATCATAGACACTTGGACAGAACCAGAGACACACGAAGCATAGACACTCGAGTCGGACAGGTCCATTTGTTTTGTGTTTAAAGTTACCTAAGTTTCTCCTTGCATTAAAAATGCTTGGTGGTTGTGGATATTTAGACTGCGTGATTTGATAGAATAATACTGGCAATGTCTAATACATATCTAATTTTCAGTAAATTATAAATAGAAAGAAAAAGAAGAGGAGGTCAAAATTCAATCCATTGAATATTGAAAGAATCAATACATTCTTGATTTTCGACTAATTCATGAGTGTTGTGTGTTTAATTGGTGCCAAAGTAACATCTTTTTAATCTTCTACAACATAGTGACTAAAACAAGTGTGCCATAACAGAGTAATTCAAAATTTACATGTTATATGACTGTGATGATTATGTTTGGAATGTCGATCTTTAAACCTGTTTTTCTCAGAATTCTGTTTCATAAAACCATGTAAATACGCTGACTTCAGATTATGAGAACTTTTGTTACAGACATGCTATGGAGAAAAGGAAAACAGATTTGAAAAGATATTGAAAGCAGCTTTAACACTAGCACTCGCATGGAGGTGTCATTTGGCACTTATACCTATCATCCCCTCCACGGTGCCAAATGACCCCAAGGATTTTAGCTAACAAACGAAATCACCTGTGAACGGCCAACTTTGTTATGTAAATAGGGCCGTTATCACAGGCTGAGCTTCACTTTGCCATCTTAGGGGGAGGGGGAGGATCTGAATAGTTACAGTTTTTCTCCAGTGGCTTTAGTGCATTTCTCACATCACATAACATTATCATGAGCTTCAGTCAGAATGAAACATACTGTTTTATAACATTATCATGAGCTTCAGTCAGAATGAAACATACTGTTTTATAACATTATCATGTGCTTCAGTCAGAATGAAACATACTGTTTTATAACATTATCATGTGCTTCAGTCAGAGTGAAACATACTGTTTTATAACATTATCATGTGCTTCAGTCAGAATGAAACATACTGTTTTATAACATTATCATGTGCTTCAGTCAGAGTGAAACATACTGTTTTATAACATTATCATGTGCTTCAGTCAGAATGAAACATACTGTTTTATAACATTATCATGTGCTTCAGTCAGAATGACACGTACTGTTTTATAACATTATCATGTGCTTCAGTCAGAATGAAACATACTGTTTTATAACATTATCATGTGCTTCAGTCAGAATGAAACATACTGTTTTATAACATCATCATGTGCTTCAGTCAGAATGACACATACTGTTTTATAACATTATCATGTGCTTCAGTCAGAATGAAACATACTGTTTTATAACATTATCATGTGCTTCAGTCAGAATGAAACATACTGTTTTATAACATTGTCATGAGCTTCAGTCAGAATGACACATACTGTTTTATAACATTATCATGAGCTTCAGTCAGAATGAAACATACTGTTTTATAACATTATCATGTGCTTCTGTCAGAATGAAACATGCTGTTTTATAACATTATCATGTGCTTCTGTCAGAATGAAACATACTGTTTTATAACATTATCATGTGCTTCTGTCAGATTGAAACATACTGTTTTATAACATTATCATGTGCTTCAGTCAGAATTAAACATACTGTTTTATAACATTATCATGAGCTTCAGTCAGAATGAAACATACTGTTTTATAACATTATCATGTGCTTCTGTCAGAATGAAACATGCTGTTTTATAACATTATCATGTGCTTCAGTCAGAATGAAACATACTGTTTTATAACATTATCATGAGCTTCAGTCAGAATGAAACATACTGTTTTATAACATTATCATGTGCTTCAGTCAGAATGAAAAATACTGTTTTATAACATTATCATGTGCTTCAGTCAGAATGACACATACTGTTTTATAACATTATCATGTGCTTCAGTCAGAATGAAACATACTGTTTTATAACATTATCATGTGCTTCAGTCAGAATGAAACATACTGTTTTATAACATTATCATGTGCTTCAGTCAGAATGAAACATACTGTTTTATAACATTATCATGTGCTTCAGTCAGAATGACACATACTTTTTTATAACATTATCATGTGCTTCAGTCAGAATGAAACATACTGTTTTATAACATTATCATGTGCTTCAGTCAGAATGAAACATACTGTTTTATAACATTATCATTTGCTTCAGTCAGAATGAAACATACTGTCAAGCTAATTTCATACATTCCTCTATCTTTTTATATCCTGAAAAATCCCTGAAAAATTGCTCTTAGGTGAATTATAGCTTTCACTCATGAAGATGTGTGTTATATTCTTTACATTTATCAGAGTTCTACCATAACGCTTTTTTGTATGTTTGTTCTATATAAAGAGACATAAGTTACTGTATTATTGCATATGCAGTACATATGTGAAATACACACCACTTTACTTTGCCATCTTAGGGAGAGGTCAACACACAGGTTTTTTTGGTTAGTGAGATTTATTGATTTTAAATGCTACAAAATAAGAAAAATTGACTAATAGTTTCGAGAACTTTAAATGCACCAAAGCCACTGAGAAAAATGTTATTACAAAATATATACAGTATATTAATTCTCAGGGTTCACAGTCTGGAAGTCACTCATTCGCAGCCCTTCCTCCCCCAGACGAATAAACAAAGCCCACCCTAGCCCCCTGTTGTTTCGGTCATCACCTCATTTGACATGCAAATGTTAGCAACCCAAGTAGCGGGTTAGCTCCTCTTCTCTAAACTAGCCCCAAATTTGGCTGGGCGTTCTAGTGTTAAGATGTGCGAGGCGAGCCTGGCCTGACTGCGCTCTCCTCCTCCTAAGAAAAGATTAGAACGCAACATTTAGTTAATAATGTGTGTATAAAAATAAAAAATATTGAAATTATGACTTTAAACAAAAAGTAGTCTTCTGTTCTCTAGATGTTACAGACAAGGCCCGCATCCTTCCACCACCTGAAGAAGATGACATAGTCTGGGATCGCGTCTTTCATTCAGACAGAAGACATGTTTTATTGTCGATGGTAGAGACAGCACGAACAACAGATACAACAGAATGCAAGTGTATTATACAGAGCGGAGGCATGGAGACCTCCAATCAGCAGCTTCCACGTTGTGCTTGTAGCTTGGCCTTCAGATAGACAAAACATGAAGTGGAAAAGTACAGGCTTCTGCACATTGATAGAATGATGAGTTTAACTTTAACAAAAGTTGCTTAAAAGTGTTATGAAATCTCACATTCCCCCCTCTGGTCACACATTCACGTGTGACCATCAGGATCGATAAACAGCAACATAACATCATAACTCAATACTTAACCCTCTAGGCGCCACGGTCGACTTAAGTCGACAAGCTGCGGTACTGTTAAAAACGGCCGAGTGTGACCAACTGAGTGTCAAAATTCATTCATACTCCCTGCCACTAGTTGGCAGACATGTCAGACTACCTCCCTGGCCCCAAAAAACGTCATGCTCCTATTCTTGGGTTGCATATGACGTCAGGGCAGTGGCGGAAATGACATACGTGGGACAGGACGTGACGTAGCCTGGCGGTGCAGTCTGCCGACTATGTACTCGGAGATATGTAGAAGAAGTGCTAATATCTTAGCTAACAGTCTTCAGCTAAAATGCCATCATTTTGTGCGGTGTACGGTTGTAGCAACCGCGCGAATAGAGAGAAAGATAAGAGTTTTTTCGCTGTTCCAACTGTGGTCTCATATAAAGGAGTACATTTTGAAAAAATCACTCGAATGAGGCGGGCGAGGTGGATCAGCAATCTCCGACTGAAATCGGGTGGCGCGACCCGGGCTAGTGCTAAAGTTTGCAGCGATCACTTTGTAACAGGTAAGAGCTGTGTTATTTCTTTAATATTGTATCTTTGCATGTTTTTAATTACACCATATAATTGAGACCAGCACTACTTACAGGCTGGAATAGCATTGTATCTTTTTGCCAAAGTAAAGATATCTGTGTTGTACTAACACATTTCTGATGTAATTTGATTATTTCAGGGCGCCCAAGTGCCCCAACAGATGTGAACTCCCCAGATTGGGCACCCACTGTCAACCTTGGGTACAAACGAGGCCATGCGGAACCACATGACGCAACACAACAGAGTGAGGAAAGCGCACAGAGTCATAACAACCTCTTTACTGCCGCTGAGCTGGAGACTGACACCTCTTCACCCAACTTGTATGATGAAAGTTCATCAATGCATGAAGAGGAACGTTTCAAAGGTTTTTATAACACGTTTTAATTGCTGTTATGTTTGATAATTATTAGAAATATGAAATGTGTCACAATTCTTTCTTTACATAATGTGTAGATGCAGAATGCCAGACCGATCTGTCCATGATGGACATCTCTAAACTGGAGGACACCATGAGAGGATATACATCAGAGATCTGCAACCTCAGGGAGAAAGTACATAACTGTACCTTGACCCCAGAGACCTTTCAGAATAATGAAAAAACTAAGTTCTACACAGGACTGCCCAACTGTTTACTTTTAATGCAAATATATAATCTCTGTGAACCATACATAACTACATCACACTTGTCCACACTCTCTAAATTTCAACAATTTATTATGATACTCATGCGACTAAGATTAAATCTTCAGCTCCAAGATCTTGCCTATCGATTTAATGTATCAACAGCCACTGTGTCTCGAATTTGTGTCAAATTAATTCACATTCTCCACAGAAGACTTGAATTCCTAATTGATTGGCCTGAACGAGAAGTATTACAAGCCACCATGCCCATGTCATTCAGACAAGCATTCGGACTTAAAGTTGCAGTGATATTGGACTGTTTTGAAGTATTCATTGAGAAACCAACAAACCTTTTGGCAAGAGCACAAACCTGGTCCAATTATAAGCACCACAACACAATCAAGTATCTTATTGGCATTGCTCCTCAGGGTTATGTTACCTTCATTTCACAGGCATGGGGAGGGAGGACTAGTGACAAAGAAATAACTGAAAAATGTGGGATCTTAAATAAGCTACTTCCTGGAGATGTTGTGCTTGCAGATAGAGGGTTCACAATTGAAGACAGTGTAGGATTTTTCTGTGCTTCTTTGAAGACTCCAGCATTCACACGGGGGAAGAAACAGCTGTCTGCTTATGAGGTTGAAGAAACTAGAAAACTTGCAAGTATCCGCATCCATGTAGAAAGGGTAATTGGTTTAGTTCGCAGAAAGTACCAGATCTTGCAGAGTAGGGCAATGCCTCTGGAACACATGGCAGTCAAATCAAGTGATTCAATGGCGCTGATTGACAAAATCACTGTCATTTGCTGCGCTTTAACCAATCTTTCTGAATCTATTGTTCCTCTGGAGTAAGAATGGCTTTTAGCTTGTTGTACATTTTGTGAAATATTGTAAATACATTTGACAGTTTGCTTGTTTTTGTACCACTTGACTAAACTTTCAGTCATGGTTGTTTTGAAAAATGTGAATTTAATCATTTCTTATCCATAAAACATTTGAAACAGCAACACATTTTAAGTGCTTTCATTTTTCTCCATTCATGAATACAACATTCAATTACGTAGTTATTTATTCTCTAGAGAAATGTAGTCCTAAAATTTCAGGAAGGATGCAATTTCTCATGTATTCCTCAACTATGGGAATTCCAGTATTCCAAAGCACCTCATTGCGCAGCACTCTCTCAACAAATAGATCCTTTGCATTCCAGACAATGAAATCACAATACTCAACATCAACAATATGAAGCTGTGCTTGAATCTGGAAATAATAGGGATGTTTTCTGTCCAGATGCACACCATCCTCATCCCTTATGAGACAGAAGCCAGGCTGCCCAGCACAATTCTGCAGCTTTTCTTCATCTTGTCTGCTATGTGGACACTGAAGAGTAAAAATGACACATTATGGGAATTATTATGGGCTCATTCTATACATACTTTTGCGAAACTCTAATTTCCATGGTGACAGAAGGGCAAAAAACTGCTTGACCACGCGCATTTTCTCTAGTAGTCAAGCAGTTGTTTGCTCCTTCTTCACCATGGAAATTAGCATGTCGCAAAAGACGTATACATATTAATTTATTTCAATCTGATATTGCCTCATTTTCATGCCACAATCTCCCAAATTCAATATCACAAGTAAAGTGTTAAAGGCCTTACATTTGGTTCAGTCAACTTAAATAGTAGTAAAAATCTATACCTTTATTTCACAAACTCCTGTTCCATGGCAGTCACAGGTAACAATTCCATCCGGTGAAGCTCCCATGTATGGCCACTTTGAGTTCAGCCACAACCCACTGTCCATACATGAGAACCCCTCATGAACCAAGCGCTGGTGTCTGATGTAAGTCTCTCTGGCTTTCGATTCGTTCTTACACCCATATCTGTAACGTAAAAGGATTTTTCATTACCAACTGGATGAGAATTGAATAATATAAATGTATTATACCCTTGCCAGAACCGCATATTAAACATAATAAACATGTTCTTCCTCCCTCACCTTTCCCTAATAAATACCTCATTGCTGCTGTTGACAGTGTTTGCACTTCAGGGTAGCAAATTGTTTTAATTAGTGCTTTGGATGGGTTTCCTGGACTGCTGTGCAACACTTGCTTTAGCTTGGATGCAGTAACCCTTCCTGCCCTTTGCTTGAACCAGATAGAAGAGGAGCTCTGGTTTCTTGTTGCTTCCTCAACTGCTTGAACTTGCTCCTGGCTTATTTCCTCGAAAACAAAGTCCCTGCATGCTCCCTGCAGCTCAGATGGAGTAAGCTTCACACTCTCAGCTGTGCGGTAATCGATAAGGGGTTTGGGGAGTTTGGAAAAAGACTTTGGAACAAAATCTAAGTGATAAGGTTCCCTACTCATCAGCGCAGCACTTCTTGGAAAGTTTGTTTTTAAGTCCTCCAAAAATTTAACATACGTAGCTAGCCTTTTTCAATTTTTGGAACAACACATTGCGTGTTGTGGTGGATGTCAGTGATAGGAGTATTGTCTGTTGAAATGTAACAAGAAAATTAACATGTTAATGTTTATCTCATTGTTGAATAAACGCAATATGCAACATTATGCCAATGTTGTGTATTGTAGTTTGACAGTTTCAGCTGCTAATGTTGCTTTCTTTAGCACAATAGTGTTACATGGCCTTGGGATAGCAGCAAGGATCTCTCTCCTCATTCCTATCCCAGGCAGGAAGTATGAGGTGATTAACAGCTGACTGTAATCATACTGCTAAAAGTAGGAATCGGCCAAAAAAAACATTTGATGACAATTTGTGGACCACAGACTTGAGATAACCAGCAGCAGCCAAAGCTGTCGAGGGTATGATGTAGGAGGTGATTTTGGGTGAATCTTAATATGAAAACATAATGCACAAAAAATGACAACAGACAGAAAAGCTTACCTGCCTTCCCCGAAATTGCATCATCTAAATTTAACTTTTTCCTTTTTGCAGATGTGAAATCTATCATTGCCACCGGTGCAGCTGGTATCTGCACACAAAAGATCTGTTTTATATATACACAAAACTAAAGATGGCAAATATATAATATATCAAACTATAATATTACCTTTTTTATGTTTGATGGCATTAGCCACTGACATTTCTCTGTCGTGCATGAGGAATTTCTCATTTTTACCCCAGCCTCGGTAGCAAAAAGTATGGCCCCCACATGAGAACATGATTCTGATAAACTGCAAGTAATAGCAAAAAAACATATTGCAGTAATCATTATTTCTTACTTTTTAATGAACTTGAGTTATTATATATCTCATAAGACAAAGAGAAGAAGAGGGTGTAACTTATTACCTACATTAAGTTGATGAAGCACCATTTAGCTTTGCTACACACCTCAGTAGAAGAATATTTGACTTTCTCTAATCAAGTCTTAATCATATCGTTGCTGTCTAAATAGTAACTACATAATGTTCTACTTAAAATGGCTGTATACAACATATACATCATATTTACTAGTAGTACTTACCCAGCCATACAGTCGCAATGGGCTGTGACAACCTCTCCGCTGTCTCTAGCCACAAACCATGTTTTTAAAGGTTTTTCACTGCTTCTTTGTGAATGGTTGACCTATAGAAGTGGAATAAAATATAATTACTTTATTAATCCCAAGAGAAATGTATTTGTTTTCATCTGTTCAAAAACAATCAATCATCCAAGCAGATGTTAATAGATTAGCATTTAAAAAGCGTCATTTGGTGCCACTAGTCAGTGGAGCAGGTGAGTGAGCCTTTTATTGAAGGCGCTCCTCTGGCTCATCACCTCGTACAGAGGAAGGCTGCTGTTTTCTGATGAAGATATTTTTTTTAGCTTCTCGTCTCTATCATAAACACCAGAGTCTGCTCAGCACCAACCACAGATGACACCACCTTTTAAATCGCTAATTGTTCGAAAACACTGATGTCACTGATGCCTTGTATGTAAATGTATTTTTTGATATTATTCACACTTTTTGACCCCTTCCCATTGGGACAACAGATGTGTTGTAACTTGCAACACATAAATAACACAATTTCGAATTGGACTTGAACAAAGCGTTTAAATCAATTTTGACGAATAAAAATATCTTCTATGTTTGATATCATGATTGCTCATATTATGCATGTTACTTAGCATGTACAGTCCCAATCAAATAAACCAATACATAAAGATGCAAATACAACATCAAAATATGACAATCATATGAGGTTTTACATTGGAAATATTACATTATGTGTGTTTCAGTAATTAGCATTAGCATAAACATGATAATATGCATGCCAAAAATAGCTATATTAACGCCGAAACTCATAAAAGTTACTCACCCGAGCAAAAACAAGGCGACAATCATTCAAAGCTTCTTTCGTCCCTAGATTGCTGACCCAACCCGAGACAAAATAGTTATATGCCTCCAGGCTTTTGAAAGCCTTCATTTGTTCCGCAGTGTAGTATGACGTCTGAAGCACCAGGTAGTTTATGATGTCCATCGCCTCCACCGCAGGTAAATCCTCCATTCTGTGCTGAAACTCCGACTTTGACAAACTATACGGGTCATATCCAGTATGCGAGTTAATCTTTTCGCGATAACGGCTCTGTGCGCGATCCCGATCCCGTTCAGCCCTTTACAATAGTCACTTTCCTCCATTGCGCTACTCTTTACTGTATGTTGTGACAGGTGATGAGCAAAGGCTTTCCCAGACAACCGCCCCCTGCAGGCCACCCGATAAAACGCAGCAATTTCTTCCGTTTTTTTATCCAAAAATAACCGGAATCAAGACTCTTTTGAGAAATATTTTTGTATAGTCCCTCAGAATTGAGTGTCCCCCTCCCGATTAAGAATGTTACAACAACCGTACACCGCACAGGGTGAGAGCCTTTTGACTCCAAAACAGACACGATTTACATGGTTTTCAATGGGAGCAAAACGGGGTTGTCCCACGTCTGCTCACTCGCCCCCTAGCGGCCAGTTTAATGACTAAAGTTACAGACCCGAGCTATAAAACATGTTATTACTGAGGGGCCTAAAGTTACGACCTCAGCTTTTAAAAACGTTATTAATGAGACTCCACAAGTTACAGACCCCAGCTTTAAACATGGTTATTTATGAGACTAAAGTTACAGCTCAGCTTTAAAACATGGTGTTTATTTATGAGACTAACAGTTACAGACCTCAACTTTAAACATGTTATTTACAGACTACTAAAGTTACAGACCTCAGCTTTAAGCATGTTATTTAAGAGACTCTAAAAGTTAACAGACCCCGAGATTTAAAACATGTTACACACCCAACACCCTGTTAACATGTAAAATGGATTAGTCAACAATGGCTTGGTCCGTTTGGGCCAGGTGGACTCGCCGTTCTCTACCCCCCGGACAAAAGTCGGGACTCGCCCGGACTTGCCCTGCCGCTTCGGCTAGCAGAGCAGAGTGTGTGATAGAGGCGGCGGTTTTTTTCAACTTTATTCACTGATCCGCGGGTCAAAACAACGTGACATGATTCAGATATACCTTCATTCTAAAGCTTATAACTTCGATGTATGTGTGTGGTCGTTGGTTTTCCAAAAGCCCGGTTACGTACCGTGGTATTTTGCTTTAAGTTCGTCGGTATTATATCTCCGTTAAACCGCAAACAGCTGGTGAGATGCGCTTTCACCGTAATGGCAGTCATCAGTGATTCTGTTTACCCGGGGTTGGGTAAATTCTCACCTCGCGGCGACGTCATTAAAAACAAAAAAAATAAATACACGCGCGATGCCGAGGTTATCCCGACTCTTTTTTTTTCAGAGTCCAGACTAATCTGTGGCCCAACTTGCCTCATATTCGTCATCTTTAATAATTATATCTCAGGAAATAAACGGTTAAATATCAGAAACAATCCCAACATTTATGGATTTCTATGGAATAAAAATTGTTTATTGATAAAGTTGGGTGGTAGCTATATATTCTGATGATTTAGCCGCTCAGAATCAAATGAACTAAAGTGAGTAAAGGAACAGCGACCTTCTTTTCACCACAGCGTTTCCATGAGTCTTGCATTGCTAATTAATAGTAATGAGGCCCTGCCTTTAGGCCTCTGCTGTGAGGCCCACCACCGGCATCAGTTCGGTGCCTCTGTGTAGATCACCCGTCTTGTCTCGGACTTGGATTGTTTGAGGCTTTTAAGCGGGGAGTCGGAAGGAGCGATCCTGTTTGTCAGGCATGATTTTTATGTTTAAGCAGCCTCCCTGCGCGATTGCAAATGTACTCAGAAGGGACTCCCATTACCGTGGCTCACATATATAATATTTATTTTTCGGGGATCAGGAGCTTTCTGACGACCCACCGCACCTGACATGACTCATATTTTTGAGGCATCAACCGCCCGAAACCGCGGGCCGAGGGTTGGACTGCGGGGTTTTCGGGCCCCCGGACTCCGCGCACCTCGCATGGTTCCTGTTCAGGGCGGGCAGGAGCAATTGTCCATTATTTTAATTGGACTTTGGTCATGCACACTGTAAAAAAGATAAAGTTAGTTCAACTCAACATTTCCAAAGCAACCAGCTGGAAGATTCTTTGAGTTGAAGGCATTAACTTTAATTCTTTTCACGTTTTGACGAACTACACTTATTAAAGTTGAGTCCGTTAAGTTTTCCAGTCTGCCAACTATGTTGTTTAAAATTCACAGTTACTGGAAATTTCATGTCCTGTAAAAACATACTTTTTTAAGGTTTCAGATTACAGTCCCCTACAATAACCCTTAACTATTTTGAGTATAACTTATCCCCCAAAATTAAATCGCTTCATGTGTTGATATATATAGGCGCATTTCATGGACCAAGGTCCACTTGGGTAGGGGAAACCGGAGACCGGGTGGACAACCTATGCGACACAGAGAACATGCCAATTGCCACCACAGAAAGGCCCTGTTCCGACCGGGATTCCGAACCCAGGACCTTAGTGTCAGAAGCGAGAGTGACTATCCACTCCCAGCACACCCGTGCCGCCTGCACACTGATGAACCAGAGGGGAAACTTAATGTTTCTAAGCATGAGCCAGGAATATAAAGGGCTACTATGGCTTGCCTGTCGAATACGGTTGGGTAATAATAAATACAGTGATTGTTTTGGTCAAATAAGTTGTTCAAATGTTGAATGCGCTGGGTGCCATAACACATATTTAAATGACGCAAAGCAGATAAGTTGACCTTCACTATATGCTCGGCGAACTGTAAAAACGGCAATCTAAAATTGTTTCACCTTACTCAGATTTTTGCATTCACTGACAATAAAATTTCCTGGTTGGAAAACTGAACTATCTTGTGAGCACTTGAACTTTCAGAAGTTCACTACCAACTTCAAGTCAAATTTCAAACTTAATATATCATATCAGACTGAACTTTTCATTCAGAAACTTACCAGAAAAGTGAGTGACGAAAATCAGACGCATAGCAGGGATCTTTGCACACCAGAGCACTTGGAAGTTTCTTCACAAAACAGGTGGTAGATGGGTATAGATTCCGGCAGAACAATAACAGGGTGAAACATTATATATTGGTATATATTGGCGTCAGTCAGCTAAAACAACGGATTACTACAATCGTAGAGATTACAATTCAAAGAACTTGTGTGTCTTGTACTTCTATTTTATCTTGTGTTTTTTGTATACTATACAGCCCCTGGCCCTTCTATTGTTCATAAGTTTCCAACTGGCACTTTTATTGTCAGTGGATGCCAAAAATCTTAGTAAGGTGAACATTTTTTGAGTTGTATTTTTTTTACAGTCCAGCACCAGAAGTGCATTAATGGTGGAGTGTTATATAACAACATTATTTAAAAGAATAAATTCAGAGGCTTATTATATATATGATTCGAAGTGTGCGTGTTTGTTAGACATTTTCTGCTGCGCAAATTCATATTTTATTAACAATGATGCCAGAGTGTGAACATGTTTTATTATGTCCAAATTCTTGTATTTTCATGCGTTTTGTTTTGGCGTGTTGTGCGACGGTTTGAAATGATTAGTTGCCTAGATGTAGTAAACTTGTAAAACGAGTTTGCTAATACAAATGTATGATGTGTGGGAAACTTTCTTTCTCCGTGTTTAACAAATATAATGGCGTTGGCTGATGAATGTCTGGCTTAGTTTTAACACTAGCAAACCCAAAGCGAAATTGGCCCCTGTTTTGAAAAGAAGGATAGTTGGGCTGCTAACATTTGCATGTATTGATTTGCAATTTAGGTACTGACCTTATAAACCAGGCAGGGGCCTGGCGGTGGGCTTTGTGATTCGTGTGGGGGAGGGAGAGCTGCTTCTGTCCCGTGATTTTTAGCATGTGGTTAAAAACCCCCTGAAGGAGCTAGCTTTGTTTCTCCCATATCTGGACACAGCACATTAAATTGACTTACTTTGTCTGATTGGGTCTTTGAAGGTCATTCTCGTGCTTCGTCTCAAAATGACGCTTAACACTTGAAGTTCTGCACAACAACATTTTTCACAGCATAATGTTGACACAGCACGGT